AACAGATGTGGATCCCTACTGCAACAAGACCCTGTACCTGTTTGCCTTCTGGACCACCACCTTGGTTTTCATCTGACTGTGTCTGTTCCTGGTAGGCGGCTGCTGCGTGCTCGTCTGCTTCTGGATTTGCGGCCGAGCCGACGCCGATGACATCTAGAGACGAACAAAACCAAAGAGGAGTGGGGATGCGTCTTGTGGGGCTGCACACGACGCTGTTAGTTTGTCTGTTGCACATGTACGAAGGCCCATTTGCACTTTTCTATTGTACCTTCACAGATTTGACCAAATTCAAATCTTGTCCTCATTAGACATCAAGGTCCAGTTTTCTTAAAGTTTCCCTTTAAGACCGTGTGAAGTTAATGTTTCGTACTTTGCAACACAACACTAATTTGTCCCAGCCTTGGAGTAGACACATGCCGAACTCCCACGTTGCTGTAGATTTTAACACTGATTATAAATCTCTGTAAGTGTTTTCTTAATGCTGAGCCCTTTCTACCTCTGCAGAAGCTGCACTGCATTCTTATAGAAATAGAAAGATCCTTTCTCTCTCACAGCCTTTCCAAAAGAGATGTACTGTTTACATGAGGAGCTTAAATTTGTACAGGATAAAGTGATATAAATGTGTGTTCTTTGTGAATTAATTCATTTCTTTTTACTTTAATACTCATGTTTGTTGATAATTTGTGTAAGGAAGGACATGAACCAATCATACTCCACACAGTTCCCATCATGCACTTTACTAATCAATGATTTCTTATATGTTAAAGGCCCATAAGAAATACTTAATGCTACCTGATGCAGCAGTGCTTCATTCACAGCATTTCTAATGGTTACCTTTTTGGTTTTTATGGGATATTTAATCTCAACACTAAACAATCAGATGAGTTTCATTGCTGTAAGTTTTATACTAAATATTAAGATTACATTGAGTATATTAACCATGATGCATTGTTGTATTTTGCCATCTAAAGAATTAATTAAAAGATAAAGAAAGGTGTGGACATGTGGTATGTGGAAACTCTGTACAAACAGGAAATGTGCAATGTGTAAGCAGTTAGATGTTAAAAACTGCTGGAGGAAATGCAACATCCAAGTGTTTCCACAAAGTAAGACGTGTTAAATTATGATGCCAAAACCTGGGAACTTCCACTCAGATCGGGGTCTCAAACTCAAATTGGCTTGAGGCGACTGCTGGTATTGTCAGGTAGTACAAGAAAGCACAAAATTATGACAATATTTCCATTGCTAACTACAAACAGCAGTTCCTGGACATTTTTAAATCATCATTTTGTATTATTTATGTTGTGTGCAGATAAACAGGCAATCTCTCCAGGATTTTGCAGGCTGTTTTTAGAGGATTGTTGTGGCCTAAAATACCAGAATTCACTGAAAATTGAGATGCATGCTGCGATGTTTTCAGCCATTTTTAGAAAATGAAATTGTGGTAGAAAGTGAACATTGCGAAAATAATTATAGTTATTATGTTAATAATTACAAAACTGAAAGCAAAGTGTTCTAGTGGGAATAAAATGTCACTGTTTGGAGAGTAATGTCTGCAAGTAATGTCAGTGCGGGCACTTCCACAACACGACCAGACACTCAAAAAATTCCTCATCATGTCAATTACACAGCTAGTGCAACACAAGAAAATACCTAATATATAATAATATCTCAATTCCAGTTTTCCCCAATTTGTAATCAGGACTTTTCTTTTACAGCCTATTGTTAACCTCTGACCTCGACTTGGATCTGATTTCCACCTGTCCGTCAGCTGCCCTCAGTGCGTTCCCGCCCCGCCCACTCCAACCACCTGATCCCCACCTGCTCATCTGACCCTCGTTCCCTTATTAGTCACCCAGTATATATCATCATATTTTTGCCTCAGGCTTTGCCAGTTTGTCTCAACCCCCAGTGCCTTTAACGCCACCTGCTCTGTGCCTTTGAGTTTTGCAATTGAGTCCTCAGATCTGGGTTATCTTACACACATGACAACAGAAAACTATAATTTTAAAAAAACCTTAAGACAAGACTAAGGATGATGCGTTTTAACAGTGAAAACATGACAAAAAAGTATGGAAACTGAAAAATTAGGTAGTCAGAGCAGAGCTCACATTAAAAGGCCAGTTTACTGAGGAAGGCAGGTATTTGACATATGATTAACTGACTGAATCAGTCTTGTCAGGAGGTCAACCACTCAAAGGCAAGGCGCTCTGAAAATCATGTTGATTTCTTCTCTCCATGTAGTATGAAATAAACACTTAATTCAACACATTGAGTCTGTAGCTCTTCAGAGAACTAGAGACTCTCAATATTTTAGAATGATTTTTTGGGTATCATTGGTGACGTGGATCTAAAACCTTCCACCGATCCTGGATCCAGACTGAAGGTTGCAGGGAAAGTTCTGCTCTGACAAACGGGAAAACAAGATCCAGATAAATGCTGAATTATTACCTTTTTATGACTTTACTCCTCATTAACAGACACTGTTGTAATAGACCGGGAACAGAAAACAATCATCAAGAAGAAAAGCGTTGCATGAACTGTCTCTAACCTACAGAAGCAGCAGTTCATAATTTATTTCCCCTCCAGCTGTGAGACACCGAGGAGGTACTCTTACACACAGAAAGGTACATAACCTATCCTACTATTTATCATTTCTACATGTGCAGAATTTATTGCCTTTTTTTCTTTAAATGTAACATAAATACTTATAATATTAGTTGACTCTGCTTTTGTTTAATGGATTTCCAGCTAGAAACTATTTAAAACACACTTTTCACTTCTTTTCTACCTGTTATCAGTAATTATTTCACATTTATGGTACTGTTACTATTATTACTTTATACTGTTCTTGCAGTTAAATGACATTGGCTTTTATTTTCAAGGAAGTAGGCTACAGTTTGTACGTTAGTGAACCTATTTCACCACTATATTTCTTGTGAAATGTCATCCCTCTGCCAGATTTGAGCGCTCAGACTGAATATCTGATGTGTACTCTCTTCTGTCTGACCCTCTGTAGGTTAGATTGATCAGAACAGACAATGTCAGAGAGTGGCCGACCCATCAGGACACTTCCTAAACCTCCTGTGGTGATCTTAGGTGAGAGACAGTGATGTGCAAGAGTCATGCACATATTAAATTAACTTCACCACATAAAGTCACTACAGGTTGAGTTTAACATTCTGTCTTCCTTCAGTATGTACACAGCTATTTATGACCGGCATGGCCTTTGCTCAGCTAGCAATAGGTAAGTGACTGGTGCACTCATTGTTATAAAGGTTGTTTTATTTGTAAGCAACTTTTTAAATGCAATGGTTTTGCTCCTACAGGAGCAATGTACCAATTTGACTGCCCCAGGCAGAAGTACATCCCCGTCTACCTGTTAGTAATGGGAGTTATAACCCTGCTGCTGGTGGCCCTAAACCTCCTGCCCTGCACTGCCACTGGCTTTGGGAATAACAGCGAGCTCTGGAGCGCCCTTGTCTCCCTCTTTTTCTTCTGCTGGTTCATCGCTGGTACAAACCTAAACATAAAATTAAAAATACTATTTAAGACAAAATATTCTCAAAGCAAAACTAACAAGCTAAAATTTGTGAAATGGATGCAATTCAACTTTGTCAAACACTTATGTGAAAAGTAATTATTCTCTCTGGCTTCTTCTTCTCAAGGTAATGTGTGGATTTACTCCATCTATGAGCCCAACTACAACAAGATGACGGAGGACGTTGGTAGGTACTGCAACGAGACTCTCTACCTGTTCGCCTTCTGGACCACGAATGTGCATTACATCCTGTTGGGTCTCCTCATTCTCTCTACCTGTTACTCATACTTTCTGTATGGTGGCAATTAAAAAATGACAATTGAACAAACATTTAGAGTGGCTGGATTTAATGACCAAACATAATAATATTCATATTTTTTTCATCTTGGGTCTGATGGATATTTTGTATAAAAAAAGAGATCCAAGGAACAGCATTTAATGGTTTGTGGTTATGCATCTTGGTCACAGAAATAGTTACTCCTTTTGAAACAGTATTTTATTTAACAAATATGTTTAAATATTTTGAATAGAATTTTTTCTCTATGTATAAAGTTACAAAGTATCTGAAGAATCTGACAACAAAATACTTACAATGAAGGAAATATTTTATGTTTAAGATTAATATTTTCAAAAGATGTATAAAACATGCCAAACTTCCCATTGTATCAGTGTTCAGTGCCACACATATATGCCTGAATAAAATACAATTTAAAGTCAAGTTCAAGAAATTTCTTACAGTATGTAGTGGTCTAAAAAGTACTTTACTTTATTTGCCTCCAATGGAGTCAAAGTATAAAGCAGCATGAAATGCAAATAATATTAAAGTACAAACACAAACATTCTTATAGAACATTATAGAATGAGTTGTTTTTATCTGCAGTGGGAGCTGGTCCTCTTCCACGGAGGCTGCCATGTTGAACCACCATGTTTCTACAGTAGCCCAGAACAGACAAAACCAAACACTAACTCTAGACTGGGCCTTTCACACATTTCTTGCCAGCGTAGTTTCTCCTACACGCTTGAGTCAAAGGGGTTTCAGCTGGTTGTAATCTCACCACTAGATGCCACTAAATCCTACACACTGGTCCTTTAACCTTTTGAGTTGTTATATAACCCATTTCCACAAAGTATATCTTATCCCTTGTGATATATAATTTACAATCCAACTCCATATTCGGAAACATTTCCTTGTCTTTCAATCTCTCCCAGAACAGCTGCCAACTCATTTTTAGTAGGAAGCATTTCCTCAAAAGATACAGATAAATGTTGAATTATTTGAGTCTTTGGCTTTATTCCAATCATCCTCACTCTCACCATTAGGATCCAGAGGGAACTGAACCAAAAAGCAAAACTTTGAAACAGGAAGTTGAGACACACACACACACACACACACACACACACACACACAGACGGACCTAACGTTTCCATCAAATACTTTATATCAGTGAAGTGGGGTCTGTGTCACTGTGAAAAGTTAATTAGTTTAAATGATCACTATCATCTATCATCCAAGTGTTCTTTGGGTAAAAGAACATTGAGAGCCTGCTTTTAGATGCCTTGTGCATCATTTTATACCCATTTCCCCCAAAATGTAGCCTGATGATATGCCCTGCAATAATATTAAAAAGCCACTAGATGTCCCCCTAAGGCTTTGACAAACAGAATTAAGCTTTTGTTGTTTTTTGTGTGTACATTTCTACAACCTGTGACCTCTTATTACCGGCTTTATCAATTAATATTTAGGGGTCTGATTATTTTCTATTTTAAGTTAGTAGAAAGAACATGGAAAAAATACTATGTGTAAAAATGTTATTATGTGATCCATAAAGTATTGTATTAAGACCACTAAGATGGGGCCTGTTCTGTCGCCCAGTCTTGAAACCACTGTGTTAACACATTAGTTTAAACACTAATCAGGTTTTGCTGCTTCAGTCACTTGGTCCAGTATGAACAGTAGCCCATGGTGGCTAACGTTGGCAAACTTTATACAGATATTACTGTGTAACTGAAATTACTGAGTCTGCAAGATTTTCTCTACGTCTTTAATTTTGAGTCATATTACGAGAAACTTAGCTTTATTTTGGTCCTCAAAGTCTTTGAAAGGAAAATGTCAGGCTCCTGGTCAGTGAGCTGTAGTGTAAAATGGGATTTGTAGAGCTTTTAAAGATCTGTTTTCTGCACCTGGAAACAAGGTTGATGAGAGCTGTAAAACCAAAAGGATAAGTTAAAGGACTATAAAATGCTCCATAAAGCTGAGGGAAACTACAAAATTGATCATTGTCATTTATCATTGTCATTTGACTCATTGTTAATACGAAAATGTTGATGAGTGCAGCTTTAAATCCAATATCTGTGAAGGTGAAACACACACGCAACCCATCTCTACTATGTGTGGATCTACTCAATCTATGAACCCAACTACAATAAGACACTAACAGATGTGGATCCTTGCTGCAACAAGACCTGTTTGGCTTCAGAACCACCAATGTAAACCACATCCAAATGAACATTTTTTTGTGTCTGCTGCTGTTGTCCATATCACCTTCCAAGTGAAATGGAAACATTGTACACTGAGGCTGAAGTTCAATGAAAAAAAGACAAACAAAATTTTGAAATAAAACCTTCTATTGATTTCTAATGCCACCTTTTAGATATTTCTGTTCAATGCTGCTCCTCTTCCCCTCATTAATGTTTGGGCATTTGAGTTCTTTACAAATTACAGAGCAATTCATTAACCAAAACTGGTTTAGGCTCAGAAAGAAGCAATGCAACATTTACATAAAAAGAAAACAATAAAAAAAGAAACAAGAACTGTTGAAAAAAAAATGGAAATAAGAACTGTATTTCTGCAGAGTAGAACAATAGTAGTCAAGAGTGTGGTTAAAATAGATCTGCTGTTTTACCACAATGTCTCATGACAAAACCCCAGTGAAGTTGGAGAAAAATAATAACTAAGTAGCTCTAGAATAGCTTATCTGTCCACAATGATGACAAGGCATAAAATATAACATCCTACCACAAAACAAGATGAGTTGCCAGTACATGAAGTGAAAGCTGCTGATGTGAGTTGTGGGGAGTACATTTGGTGAGGGCAAAGACTGGCAGAAAATGGCTTACCAAACACTGTGGGTACCAGACAGACACACAAGAACGAATTGCACACAAATACATGAAATGAAAAAGGATCCAGGTTGATTTTATTTATTTTTTTGTGAAATTAAGGTCACACGAAAGCATGATAAAACTGTTTATTTTCCGTACATGAATTATATTCATTCAACTCAGTTTTACTCAATTCCCCCTGGTCACACATGTCTTTCCTGGAGTGGCTCTAAACCACTAGTTTGACACATTGGGAAATGCACTTATTTGCTATTTTGCCAAAAGTGAGCTGAGAAGAATGATACATGCATTTTTTGCCACCAAAAAGATTTCTTAAGGATAAAGGAGAGATTTTTAATTAAATCTCTGAATTCAGATTTAAAATTAGACATGTAGCTAATCGACATCACGACCACTGTGGCAAGTGGTAACATTTATCTTGTACAAATTAGCACAAAGTGTTTCTTTTTGCTTTTGTTAAAATCCATTAAATTTGTATCTGTGATATGATAAAATGTGGTTGTACGTGTAAACGGTTGCATTGGTAAAGATTAGTTAAAAAGTCATAGATATGACAGAAATTATGATTTCAGTTACACAACAAGATCTATCAAATGTTTGCTAATGTTAGCCAAGCTATTGTATCTCATCAAGTGAGTCTTTAGCTTCACTCAAATCATCCTCCCACTGTAATGAAAAGGGAACTGAGAAAGAAAGAAGCAAAAACCCAGACATTGAAATAGGAAGTGGCACATGGGTACATTATATGACCAAGTTCTCACGCAGGCCCCCTTCTTTTGCTTTCACCAGGAAGTGGCACAATATATAACCCAAATCTCATGTAGGGCCTTTTTCTTTCACTTTGAGTCAGAAAAACAGGTAAGACATATCTGATACTATCACATAATGTGCATTTATTACAATTTTGAGATACAATTTTACATTTGCAGAATACAATGTGTTTTTCTATATATTCTGTATTGTATATTAATTAAAATGAAATCCGACCTGCAGCCCTTTGCTGCGTGTCATCCCCTCTCTCTGCCCCCCTTTCCTGTCTCTCTTTGACTGTCACTATCATAAAGGCAATAAAAGCCCAAAAAAAATACTTAAAAAAAAAAAAAAAAAAGAAACTTAAAGATATTTTCTAAATGCCTCTTTCTTGTAGGGAAGTTATTAAGTTAAACTTACAGGACTACAGTATATTTCAATGTTACTATCTCAGCCGTTGGTCACTAAAAGCAAAAAAAAACTAAAACAAAACTACAACAGCAACACAGAAAATGCCCCTAATTTAAAGGTTTTAAATTTAAGTTTAAATTTAAGTATGTGTCGGTATTTAATGTTTCACTTTTTACAGTTGATTTTTGTCTAATGAAGAGCAACTTTCGGACTCATCTCTTGTTCAATGTACCAGACAAACAGCTGATGTATCCGTCTCAGTTCTCTTTGTCTCTTTGTAGGTTAAACTGATTGTTACTAAAAATGGCAGAGAGTGACAGACCTCAAATCACTTGGCAACGTTCGACAGTTATAGTAGGTGAGAAATAGTGCAATAGCAAAAGTCTTGCACACTTGTGGTCAAAGTTAAAATGATCTGGTATGTACTGTAATTTATTCATAAAGAATTATTTTGTCTGTCTTCCCTCAGCATGTACTGTGGTATTTTTTTTCACGATGCTCTTTGTTCAGTTGGTGGTTGGTAAGTGATTTGTGTACTTACTGTTATATAGATGTATTTAGTTTTAGTTCATGGCATCAAAATGTATTTTCTGTGGCAGAAAATTAACTTTTGAAACATTAGACAATCAGAACTGTGTATTGCATTCACCAACAACGTAATAATTATTAATCAATGAGGCAGGTGACACTCATCTTTGTCTTTGTCCTCATGTCCAACAGGAGTAGTGTACATGAATGACTGTCCGAGGCAGCCCATCATTCCTATCTATTTGTTCTTAATGGGATGCAGTCCCCTGCTGTTCAGGTGCCTCAACAAGATAACCCCACTCTTTTGCTTCATGGCCCCTGGATTGTTTTTGGTCTGGTTTATTGTTGGTAAGGGACCTTTCACAAATAATTTGTCATATGAAGTTGAAATTATATGATATGATATGATATTATTATTGTATATCATAATTGAAAACTAACCGTTAACTTCTAATTTGGTAACTATTATGAAAATTCTTATTCTATGAATACAATAAGGTTAAAATTACATACGCCATCTTAAACACATCTTAAATTATTAATATTTTGCCTTCTGTTGCTATTAATGGTGGAATGGTGGTTTGAGATGTACCAACTCAGAACTATATTTTAAGGTATTAGGGAGAGAGAGATGCATTTTTTTCAAGAGAAGGGATCAATAAAGCAGGGGATTATCTTTAAATGTGAAAAAAAGAAGTATAAAAGTAATTGCACAAAAGTAGGTAGAGCTCCACTGATCAATCATTTTTGCATTTAACATTGAGTTGAATGAGTAATGTGAAAGCTATTGCTCACAGCGATAGAATTGGCGCCAAGCTCAGCAGATGTATTGAGTGTTTTAGTTGCTTTTAATTTCAGTTCTAGTTTTGGGTTTTATGACCTGCAGTTTTACTGTATGGATCGGTCAAAGAGCACCACACACTACTTGCTCAGCACTGAATGACATAGAAAGCAAGACTAAGAAACTTTCTCAGGAGTAGGTGGGGACTCGATCTGTGTTTGTTGAATTAAAATAATTCACTTATCTAGCCTTACTAACTTTATAAGGCAATATACCTGTATGTCAGAGTGATATGTTTGTCAACTTGTGTGTTGTGGAGTTCCTCTGCCTCCTCTACAGTTAAATCAATTAGTGAGCTTCAGAGGTTCTGGTAGGTGAATTATGTTACCTTTGGACAGAACCAGCTGAGCTAGCCTTTTCCCAGTCTGTCCAATCTTTGTGCTAAGCTAAGCTAATTGGCTGTTGGCTGTAGCTTTATATGTGACTCTTTCCTTAGAGTGCATAGAGTTGGAGAATGAACACATTTGAGATTCATGATTGCATGTATTATGGAGTTAAATCATAATACATACATATAAGGTAAATAACAGATCAGATAAATAAACTAATTTTCCATAATCCATAAACACCAAGATCATAGTGATAACAATATTATCTCTACTCTTTACAACTTGCAATCCTGCCAAGATTTTCTTCAGTTTTTTAATCTTTGGTTCATTCATCATTGATATAAAGCACAAATATATAATTATTCATGAATAAGTTCTGAATCTGTGATCAAGCACAGCCACAATGTGATTTTTTTTTCAGGTACTTTAAATATCTACTCTATTTACGAGCCCAACTACAACAAGAACACAACAAAAGTGAATCCCTACTGCGACAAGACACTGTACTTATTTGCCTTCTGGACCACCAACTTCACCTTTGCCCTATTACCTGCGCTACTATTTTCCTGGTTCTATTGTTTCTACCAATTTGACATTGTTGAGGTACAAATGCCCTTGCTGGGATAAATTAAGTTGGTTAGAACTAAAAATCAACTCACCCACACAGTAGCTCACTATCAGGGTAGTTTGTAGATTTAAGAGTTAATCATGTCATACATCATCATGGAATATACATAGATATTAAAATAATCCCAAGTACCAGCCTCACATTGTTTTATTGTTGTGTATCTTTTATCACAGAAATATTATAATTTACATACAAAATACAAAATATAATACTTAATGTTGTATGTTTTCTCTTTTTAAAATAACATCACGACAGTATTGTATCATGTAAAAAATTACGTTTGGATATTAATATTTTCACTCTTTATGTAAAGTTACATGTTTTCGGAGAGACAGTCGAGGCTGTCAATCTGATTGGTAGGCTGGGCTATGATGTCAGCACGATTTACGTGAGAGGTTGGCCAGCGCTTTGGCATGGATGGGCTTATAGAGGAGAGTGAAGCTGGAGGGGCTGATAAGGCCGTTGCCCTGTGCGTCGACTTTTCCCATCAATACATAGTTCTGACCTGGAGAAGAGACAGTGTGAGAAAAATATGTTAAAATATGTAATATATATATATATATATATATAATAAACCAATGACTATAATATAATGTTGGGAAATGTATGACACCGAATCAGTTCAATAGATTTAGATTAGTTATTATTAATTTTGAGATAACTGAGATATATTGGTTAATCTTATTCTCCTTAAGAGGTTAAACAAATTTGATATTTGATATTTGATATATTTCTATTTGAAAGAGCACCATTTGTAACCAGCTTATTTCTTTTTTATTGAATTTAAATTTTTAACATGTCTTGCATTAACATTAATGTTAGTTGTGTTGTCAAAACATGATGCTTATTATATTTTCAGTTCTTCATCAGTAATTAAACCTTACTGATCTGAGTTTATAGTACTAAAGATGATACTTTCTTTGTTTATTTGCAAGAACTGATAATTTGTGATCAACATTTAATAAAGATATTGCATGGTATGAAGCACAGTCTTTACCTTCTCTATCTAGATCTACTAAGACTAAGAAACTGATCAATGTGTGTGTGTAAGACAAGCTTAGTTTGTAAATACTTGGACTGTACCTTTGGTTAGCCCAGGACACTTCTTGCATGTGGAGGTCAGTATGACCGACATGATGGGCCCTGATTTGGTGATGTTCAGGCGTCCTGGCTTATAGGCCTTGATTAGGGACACTTCAACTGTCGCTGAGCCACTCGGACCAGGGGCCAAAGATGTAATCTTACCCGTAATCACTGAAAAAGAGAAAAAATATGAATGCATAGAAAGAGAAAGGAGTTGCACAGTCAGTAAAGAAAAAAAATGCGACAAATTATGGCCAACCTTTTTGCTATTTCTGATAATATTCATTTATGAAACCCATGACAAGACTACCAAATCCCATCATAATAAAAGCTTCATAAGGTGCATTTCTATCAAGTTCAGTCGTTTCTATGGGCATTTTTCAATCTGCGCATAAAAATTCAGAGGAAGTGCCATAAATAAATAATAATAAATACATTTTGGATCAGATAGAAAAGTTGTTTTAACGATTAAAAAAAAAAGGGAGTAAGTTCAATGAAAAGAGACTTTAACTGAATTAATCATGATGCACATGAAGCACTTTAACATCCACAGAAACTTGCACTCCACTGGAGACATGAAAAATGTCCACAGGTGAAAACATCAGATTTGTGTGAAGCTACAAGAAGACTCTTACCTTTATCAAATTAATACATGAAACCAAACTTATAGATGCCAAATGTTGATCATGTTTTCTACTTTTTTCCCCACCATTTGAAGTTTGACTGGTGCTCTTTTAATTACACTATCTTGTTGCGCCCCCCTTCTTCTGCAATAGTATAATGGCAGAATTGGCACCACCTGCCTGTCTTGATGAAACTAGTATTAGCATAACAGTAGTGGATGGAAACATGGATACGTTTGCATTTTATTTTGCAGATTTTCTGAAAATTCTGTCAAAATTTGTGTTACACTTGGATGAAAACCTACAGAGAAAAAAAATACTGCAAGTTGCATTTTGGAAAGGTAGAGATGTGAAAATAGAGTGGGAGTTTAATGAAGAGTAGAGGGCAGCTGAGGTGGCTCACCGAATTCATGAGGGCAGAAGCTTGATTGGAGAGTTCCTGTCCTCTTACAGGCTTGTGTACACAGTGGGTTCAGTGGTAAAGCTGAAGAAAACAGAGGCGGCAACAAACACAAACACGCGATAAGCACATGAACTTGCTGTGCACATACATACATACATACATACACAGGAGTTTACATTGTTTATTCCACTCACGTTTCTTGCTCACAGGCTTCTTCGTCACTGTCTTGCTTACTACAGGTTTTAAAGTCGCTTTAGGCTTAATCTTTGGTTTGACTGTTGGTTTAACTGCACTCTTGGGGTTTGGCTTTACTGGCTTGACACCAGGTTTTAAGGTGGGCTTGGTCTTCAGGAAAGGCTTACGTGTGGGTTTAGCCTTGATGCTTGGTTTGAGTGTTGGTTTAATAATCTTAGGTTTGGGTGTAGGTTTAGCTCCAGGTTTAGGCGCAGGCTTTTTCACAGGTGCTTTAGGTGTGGGTCTGGCTGGTTTGGGTTTCATTGTGGGCTTGACGATGGGTTTGCGTGGTGGTGGAGGTTTCAGGGGTATCTTCACCAGTGGTTTTTTTGCTGGTTTTGGGGTGGGTTTAGGTTGGAGGCCAGGTCTAGGTTTGGGGGTTGGTCTCGGTTTAGGAATCGGTCTAGGTTTAAGGGGCGGTTTGGTGGGTTTGCTTGGCTTCATGCCCGTTTTTTGTGGCATTGAGGTGGTTTGAGGTCCATGGATGAAGTCTCCGCCGGTAGTCGGCGTCCGAGACCCACCAGGCACGCTGGAGTAGTAGGCCATGAAGCCATCTGAGGTCACGCTGAGGTCGGAGACAAACTGGACAAGAAGCTCGTTCCCATTTGTCACTATTGTTCTATGCAAAGGATGAATGGAGTGAAAAATGCATAAGGAATAGCAAAGTGGAAAGAGATATGTGAAAATACAGGAAACACTGGCAGAGCTCAGCTGCCTTTACAAAGCAATTTTTATTGATTTCTGATCAGCAATCTCACCCTGGTGCCCTGTCTCCGCAGAATTTCCCAATCCGCCGCGAGTTATCCCTCTCTCCCCCATTAAACAGCGCCACATAGTCGTAGCGGCAATATGTGTCAGGCTCCAAATCCAGCTTCACAAACTTCACCTCGATCACCTGGGGAAGAGGTGGCAATGAATACACGAACACACCACAGCAAACTATGAAATGAATGACAGGGAATAAGTGATGTGAGCTGGTTTATTCCTCAGTGCAGTGCAGACATAGGTAGCAGTGGTAGTAGTAGTGGTGGTGGTGGAAAAGGGCCAGACTTCTCAAATACAGAAGGGCATTTACTCTCTCCCTTGCTCTTGCTTCCTTCCCTCCTTCCTTGCATTCAATCTCTTGGCACACACGAACACACCTTCAGGCGCTCAATGAAGTCTTTCATTTGAACTTTCGTCACAAGGCCGCCGTCACACTCACATACACACATATATATGCTACATTAGGGGCCAGAGGTAGAACGTTTCCTTGTGATGGGCCTCTGCACTACTATTTTCATTGCTCCTTCTCCTCTGACATCGACTAGCCTTTTTCAACACGCCGTATTCAAAGTCCAGCTAGAGTTTAAATACTCCTTACTTTTTGTGTAAGGAAATAATAAATATGATGCTAATATTGTGGATATTTGTTCACCTGTCTAATTAGGATATCACCGTTTTTGGCCATATTTGTGGGCGTTAGGATTAGGGTTAGTGGTTGCTTATGTGCGCTACTGATTGGAGAATGTTACAAGTCTGTATCTTATAACTGTAGCTAGCTACAAGGCAATTTTTGCCATTTGACAACAAGCTCAATCAGCATTCCCTATGAGGCAGATTTAACTCTTTTGTCAATTTATAAAATTCAATGTACGTGCATGTATATAAATAACAGTATATATTTTTTTATTTTATAGTGTTCTGTTATTCTATGAATTTGATTTATCGTGTAGCATGAAGGATCTACGAACTATCATTTCATTATACAGCCTTGTGTTGTATGATTATGAATAAATGCTGATGGTTTGATGCTTTACAGCCTACTGAAAATGAACTTCTGAGATGTCGCTCTAACTTCAAAAGGGAGTATTTTAGGTAGACGATTAGAAATACCAAGTGCAATACAATTGGCTTACATTGCTTGGTTCTACAGAGATGTGCCAGGAGCAGCTGATGCCTGCTGGGTAATTAGAGTTGGGCCAGTTGGGCGTCTTGACAGAGCCCTGCTCTTTGGTCAGCCGTCCTCCACAGAACTGGTTCTCTGCGGGAATAAAAAAACAAAGGACTCTCAAACAAAGCTTCTTCAAACAAGTGAAGGACTTTTTATTCCATGTATTACTGTATTTGAGGCAAAAAGAATGGATTTTATAAAATATATAAGACACCAGCCGAGACATTCTGGTCTGTGTGTTTCTGTATCCACACCTTCCATATGTGGCTTCCCTGCGCTGAAGGAAGCCAGAAAGCCTCTTCCTCCAGTGGCGTCGTCTGACACCATCTCCAGCATCATGGTGTTGGAGGTGGAGATGAGGGCGCCGGGCCGGAACGTCCCGCAGAAACGACCCAGCTTCTGCACCAAGCGGGAGTGACCGTTGTAGACATCCAGGTAGTCGTACCGGCAGGTGGGGTCCGCCTCCATGTCGAAGAGACGGAAAGACAGCATGACCACATGACCCTCTGGGACCTGGAGGGAGAGACAGGTGATGCTTTGAGGAACGACTACAAGAGAATGTAGCTAGAGGAGTAGATTTAAGGTGCAACAAATCAACGGTCAATGAAACAATTTCAAAGGTTTCCATCAAAATTAACATTCCTAGATTTCATGTGTTGGATTTTTGGGAACATGTTTTTTAGGTGTAAAAGATTTTAATTGTAGTGAATATCTCAGACAGGGTAAAAAAATGAACACTAGGAACACATACTCTAATATGTAACACTGATGTTTCTTAGCAAAAACATAGACAGCTGCTTTGATTTGACTCGCTGACCTCACAATAGGTACGGTGGACAGTGAGGGTCACATTAGTTTAGCACATAAAAACTGTCAAACAGATGTGATTCCAATTCCAGTTTATTGGCTATCTGACCTAAAATTTTGCAGCTTGGATGTTAATTTTGATGATCTTAAAGTTTAAAAACAATTAGAATATTTTTATCTGGTGTGATGTCTTGAATTAATAGTTTGTGTGTAATTATATTAATTAATTTGAATCCAATGTTTGAATTAATCAGTTCATTATTTGTCAATTAGGCTTGTTTAAGTTAAGACCTGTAATAAGGATTAAAAAGGGATATTTGCTGTTGTACAGATCATTGGCTTAATTAGTGATAGTGGACACATGTTTGTGTGTGTGCTTGTCAGTCCTCTAAGCAGTGAGTGAGGAGCAGTGCCAAGCTGTGGGAGTAGAGGTAAAACTATTCTGCTGTAAATTACTTTATGTCAAAGTTGATGCACTCATGAGTGTGTATTTGTGCTGTAAATAAATTGTGCTTGTCAGCAGTTACAAAGGAATCTTAGATTAATATTTGGTTTGTGATTCTGTATTATTTGAGAGCTTTGTATCAGTCCCAGCTCACCCTCTGATTACCTGAGCAGATGGTACGCTCCAGTTCAGGCTGAGAAGGTAAAAGGCCACTCACTGGTCTTTGGTTTGAGAGCTTAAAGTGAGGCTACAGGTTCAGGGTCGCCAGGGTCAACACTGCTTCAACTTTGTTTGAATCCCATCCCCCTTTACCAGTTCTACAAAACAACCATTACCCTTTAGCACTACAGTCATTTACACAATGTGTTGCAGCAAGTTGATGAATGTCTGTGTGCAGACATTGTGGAATAAGCTACTGAAGGAAGAAAGGGGAAAGGCCATTTGTGAAAGTAAAATTTAAATAAACTTTAAATAAATGAAAGAAACCCTGATGATTAGAACTGGAACTGATAACAGCCCACAAAAAGGGTTCACCTTAAAAAGACTAAATATTCTTTTACAAATGAAAAGTTGAACTCTATCAATCAAATACAACCTTGCAACCAATTCAATACAATGCTTAGTCGGGTATGACCAGTAGCCAATGGTGGCAGTTTAACTTTGTTGATGCTTGTGTAACATTACTGACTTTATGAATGTTCTCTACTTATGTTCTTATCTTGTAGTTTGCCACAGAGGTCACTGCTGAGCAAAAGTTACAAAAAAATCACTTTAATGACATTACGACAAAACATTTACGTCTTTACACATACTTGGATCTGAAAATCTGACATTTTCCTCTACTTTATTTATTTATTTATTTATTTTTAAATCTTCTCACATGACCTTTGTTTGACAAAATATGTCCGCACACATGAGAATGCCGAGCCAATAGGTGGCAATAAAGTAAAATCAACAATACATCAAATACCAGAGAACATCCTGAGCGTGGATTATTTTCCTTTGGTGTTGGTGGTGACTTAAACACAAATTATAGTAGCTAATTATTTATTTTCAGTTATTTGGCAACTATTTCTTCACCCCTTCTGGCAGATGGCCTAGCAGTGCCAACCAAATGTAAATAAACTGGTAGTCGGCCATTGTTTTTTTTCCAGGCACATGCTCTTTACACAAAGGAACAATGGACATGTACAAATTGAGGTTTCCTAAACACTTCTACTAAAATCTACTGCTAAGAAGGTTTTAATTATTTTGGGGGGATTTAGTGGACAAGAGGCCAAAATGTAGAGGAAATTATTCATATTCAGAAACATCTGTGTACGTATGGACTAGACCTTCAAAATCACTTTTTAAATTGAAGAGTAATTTGAGATTTTGGACACTAATGAATCATCATTATCCATCACTGACTCTACAAAATGCACATTACATTGTGGGAACGTGCAGTTAAAGCTGATTCACTGTCAGTAACACAGATGTTTTCACTCAGTCTGGCTGATTGATTGAAGGTGACCAGCTCTATAATAGGAAATGCACAAGGTCAACAAACTCCCTATACTAATGAGGATGATGAAGGTGTAATTTGTCCGCCCTAACAACAAAGCTAACAGGGGAGTCAGTCAGATGTCTGTACACCTCCACTCAGTCCTGAGAGGAAGTTAAGAGCTCTAATCAGTCAAAATATCACCTGTGTAGGTTTACAATGGACATACCTTTTTCACTGCAAATGATTGGAGACATTTAATGATAGCAGCCAGCCACTCTGGGAAACATTGAGTCTGGATTCAAATGTCGTTGTTGGGTCTGTAAATCCTTTCTAGACCTGCTCTATTCAAGAAGTGTCCTTACCCTACTATTTAATGTCAAAATGGCTGCTGTGAGAAAGGTCTATAGAGTAGTGATTTTTTAAAAATGACTCACAGTGATGTACCAGATGCATTTACTGTTGGGTTTGTAGTGACTGGGGAATCCTTCACTGGCCACGATATCCGAGTCTGTGACCAGGTGGCCTCCACAGTGGAAGATGGGCCTGAAAGAGAATCACACAACCGCCATCAGCTGCAGTTCAACATTTAAGTTGAAGAAAACGCAGCTATACTGAGAGTATTCAAGCAGAACTCCCCCTCACACACACACACACACACATACACACTTTTACATACACGCTGAAAACCACAGCGGCACAGTCTGTCTCTGTTCTCCGAGTCCGGGGAGGTTCCCAATGAACTCTCCTAGTTTGTGTGTTTTTTTTGTTTTTTTTCATAAAACCAAGCCAGGACGACCATCGATATTACAGTATATGTGCTGTGAGACTGTACCACAAGAAAGTTGTCAGTAGACGTAACACATACTTTTAGACGGGCACCTTCAAACACAGCAGCCCGGCTCACACATGGAGTTTGGTAACACGCCCACTCTTTCACACTCAGATAAACACAGATCAAAGCAGAGCCAGCCTCCAATCTTAATTTCGCAGCACTCGACGAAGGGCCCCAGACTCGTTAATTTAGACGTTGGTTGCGCTGGCATCTGGTCAGTTTGTTTCCTCTTTCAAAACTTGCTTCTGTGGCTCGACTTTTGTGCTTGTTTTTTTTTTTTTTGAAGGGAAAGGCCAAAATGAATACATTTTTTGACATGGTGAGGACTCTTACTGTGACCATCAACTCATTATAGTCCCTTTTTTGTCCTTCAGGCATGCGTTGTGTGTCTGCTGCAGTGCTATAAGGCCACATTTGGCCAAAAAAAAACCCAGTGGTGGTGAAGTCCCTCCCTTCTGACCCTCTAGAGTCGAACAGCCCACAGGCATTTGTTTGTCTTGTGTTCAATTTACACCCTCTGCGTGTATGTGTGGAAGTAGCTATAGCAGTGCACACACACAAGGTTCAATAAGCATCTAGAAAAATGAAATTCTCAGCATTTGTGGAGTGAAAAATGTGGATTTAAGAAGGCAAATGTCTGAATTTAGTGCCAGTTTTGACAAAAACATCAGACGTGCGGACAAGCCACTGTACATATGCCCATTTGAATCACTACATCAATTACAGCATGCTGTCATTTTCTGTTTATGGGACGCCAACCACATCTTCCTAACATCGCAACCTTCTATTTCTACTGCACTTTCCATAATCATAATACTGTAACCAGGAGAGGAAAAAAACACACATAGTAGTTAATCTAGATAGATGTGGGCTAGAAAAAGAGCATGCCACATGTGCACATGCAGGATGTAGAGAGGAAAACAGATGCACAAGAGGGACATTGATAGCCGTATAGTTGACACACATACCTGAAGTCTAAAATCTCTCAAACACGCAAGCTCACCTTGTGTAGTTGGTCTGACTCTGAGCCTCGGTCCATCCCAGTGTCAGAGTGACAAGAAGGCACACAGTCCACACCCTGTCCTCCATCCTGCTGTCCTCTGAGGTTGGGAAAGACGGGAGAGGAGAAGGAGAGGAAGGAGGGAGAACCAGAGTAGAGGCGTGGAGAGATGCAAGGTTCAAGAGAGGAGGGGTAGAGCGAGAGAGAGAAGGAGAGGAGGTGTTATAGAGAAGAAAAGAGGTGAATGAATGTGATCTTGAGAGGACAGAAGGCTGTTTGAGACAGGTTAAACATTAATTACACTGTATGCTGAGCCACGGCCAAAAGCAATGTATATACAGTTCACAGTACAGTGTGCCTGTTATGTTCCAGCTCTGTGTTGTTGTTTAACAGGCAGAGTAATGGAATATATGGAAAATGTATGT